AATGAAAATGTCACCGGGGGTGGGCTTTGAGGTTTAAAAAGCCCAACCCGGTCCCGGTGTCTCTCTCTTCCTGCTGCCCGTGGATTCAAAGGTAGAACTCTCTCAGCTACTTCTCCAACAGCACGTTTGTCTGCTTTCTTCTCTAAGAGCTGCCATGTCATGGTATTTCTTCACTGGAATCGAACACTAAGACATCCGTGTGCTCAAAATATTGTTTTTCACCTGAGTAATAAGGAACGACTTGAGGAGTACTGCCTAATTCAGCTAGGACTAGAACATATACTTCTGCATGCACAAAGAGTCAAAACAAGTGCTGATGTAAAATAGGGTCATTCCCTCTTGCAGGGCCAAAAAAAAGTTGTATTAAACGTTTGTTCAGTTAAAAATTATTATAATGTCTGGAGCTGCGGCTCATAATAAGAAAAGAGGTACAGATGTAACAAGAACTAATCATTTGAGTAAGGTGTTTGGCCATCTCCCAGGTGAATTCTAGCTTCTGTCCAGGTGACAGTTAACACTGACCATCATGGGGGCTTTTGTAGGACATTGATTACATTTATTTACTTTTTGATTGCATGCGTATTCATGAGGGTGAGGGGAGCCATGGCATGTTGTCACTCAGTAGACAACACAAGGTAATTGGTTTCCCACCATGTGGCTTCCAGGAACTGGACTCTGGTCATTAGGTTTGGTAGCAAGTGCCCTTAGTCCCTGAGCCACTCTCACCAAGCCCCAAACCGATGCATTTCATGCGTAGACTTTACTTATTGCTTCATGTAGTCAGTGAGTGAGTCCCTGTGGGTCTATGACTCATCATCGCGTTCTTCCCTGAAATCTGTGGAGTGAGGAGTGCTGGCTGGTGGAACCCCGGGACAGGATGAAGTAGCTGGTCAGAGCAGTAACTTTTCCAGGACGTGAGATCTTGCTCTGCCGATGAGTTCCAAGGGGTGTGGCAGAGGGGAGTGAAGTGGAAGGGACCTTATAGATAAAAAGAAACATGTAATGGCCAGTTGATGGCAGTGTGGGCGCTATTGGCACCTTGACCCAAACAAACAAACCTCATGCTAGTTAGCTGGTTAGTTACTAAAGTCACTTGGAATCAAATAGTGGCTACTTAATGATATCAAGGAATTGCTTGGTATTTTAGACATGGTAGAAGTATTGCGTTTTTACTTGGAAAAAAATTTCACCTTGGCCAGATGTTAGATCCCTGCAATCCCTGCACTGAGGCAGGTGGATCGTCTCAAGCTCAAGGACAGCCTAGGCTGCACAGAAAATTCTAGGCCAAACAAAACAAGGCCCCGTCTCTGTGGAAGTACAAAACTACACAAACAGATAGGTACAAACAAGGAAAAAAATCTCCATCTTTTAAAAATAAACAACGAAGTATTGTGGGGGAAATGCTTCAACATACTGTGTAAAGGGGTAAGGGTGGTTTGGGGATACAAATGAAATCAGGTTATCTGCAAGTGGAAAATTGTTGGCTTGGTTACACAAGGATTCTTTGTACAATGATTTTGTCTGTGTTTGAAGTCTCTCCATAATACAAGAGCTAGAAGAAGGGGAGGAGTGGGGGGATGGGAGAAAAATAAGAAGAGGGGAGAGGGAAAGGGAAGGGTTGGAGAAGGCAAGAGAAGGGAGGGGCACGTGGACAGCCTCTGAGCAAGACCGGAGATCGTTATGCTGTCACTTGCCAGTTCTGTGACCCACGGGCAGCCTGTTAACTGTTCCCTCTCCTAGCTGCCAAATGGATAATAATGGCCATTTCCCAGACCATACGTTGTTGTGAGGATAGAATGAGTTAGCACATGTCAGCTCTTGCAGAGTTACTGGCATCTTGTAAGTGTAGTGACTGTGGTAACCATTGCCTGGCAGAGAATTCCGAATGCACAGTCTGAAGAGTGGCCAAGGACCAGGAAAGCTATAGGTGATAAATGAAGGAACAATTAAGGACCAGAAGAGGGGAAAAGAGGGGAGTATTTAAAACGTGTTTATGTTTATGTGTATGCTTGCATGTCTGTGTGTCACTTGTGTACAGTGCCTGAGGAGGACAGAAGAGGGCATGGGATACCTTGGAACTGGAGTTACAGGTGCTTATAAGACACACTGCGGATGCTGGGAATTGAACTTTGGTGCAATCATACTTTGATTTGTCAATAGTTCTCTATCTGGGGTGATTAGACATTTATTCACAGCTCCCCATGAATAGTCTCATAGTCTCTCTCTCTCTCTCTCTCTCTCTCTCTCTCTCTCTCTCTCTCTCTTGTCTGTTTCTCTCTCTCTGCTTCTCTGTCTGTCTTTCTGTCTCTCTCTTTCTGTCTGTCTGTCTCTCTCTGTCGCTCTGTCTCTGTCTGTCTCTGTTCACACACACACACACACACACACACACACACACACACTTGTGAACATGGATGCTCAGGCATATGGAGGCCAGGGACAACCTCAGGGATGTTGGAGCTGTCTGCTCATTTTGAAGCAGGATCTCTCTGTGGTTTGGAAACTGCTGTGAGGCTGACTGACCAGGGAGCCCCAGAATCCTCCTGTGTCCACCTCTCTAGCACTGGGATTATAAGTATGTAACATCATATCCATTTTTTGAAAACATCGACTCTGGGGATTGAATCCATGTCTTTGGGCTTGCCAAGTGAAGTATCCCCTTGTCATATTTTTTGTGGGACACAACATGAAACATGTGGGAATTAAGATGAGAAGAGTAAGGGGACCATGAGGTTTCTCCTGTAGGCCGAGAGCACTTGGGGACCATGGTGGCAAAGGATGGGCAAGCCAGCCTGTTTGTGGCTCGGGGTACTGAAAGAAGACTTTCTCTGTCCCCCGATGCCTGGGAGAGTCTGTGATTATGGGTACTGAGTACCAGGGAAGAAACATAGAAGGAAACAAAAAAGAAATTACTTTCCAAGACGCAGCAGAACTCCCTCTCTACCCTATGTTCCTGGGAGGATGAAACACATCTCACTCCATACTGGTGGACAGAAATCCTCCCCAAGAGCAAAGGGCTCCTGCTCTGGAGAGAGATGGTGAGACCCCATAGAGAGGCCTTTATGTGGTACCAACAGCATTCTGCTTGTCGTTGTGAAGGGGTGGAGATAACTAACAGCAGAGACTGCTGACATCATTTGTTGGATGCCAACATCCCCAGGAGCCAAATGATGGTATTTTTCCCATAGCAGAGTCAGAGTCTATGAGAAAGACCTTGGAATGTTTGACATATTTCCTTAGTTATCTTCGGGCAAATGAAATTGGCTCAGCCTGGAATGGAGCTCAGATTCACTGTGATGAGAAATGGGATCTATTTAGCACATCCTGTGTATTGATCCACTTCAGTCATCTAATGCATGCTCAAGAAGTATAGAGAGATAATTCGAGGCCAGTTGGCGGTTCTTTAAGCAGGCTTATGGTCTAGAAAGTCTTTCTGGTGATTACAGACAAATCCGAGCATGGAGGACGTAGGGAATTTCATCTCTGGTACCCACCACCCAGCAGCATCACTTAGAGGAAAAGTGTGGCCAAGCTGCATATGAATGCAGAGAGAACTGCGCACTTAGGTTTGTTTTCCTTACCAAGGGATGTGGGGGGATCTACACCACACGCTCCTTTCAATTTAAAAACTTTTCTAGTCCACACAATGACTTGTGGGAAAGAATTTTCTGCATTCCCTTGATTCTGATGGGGAAGACTGGGAGTTTCATATTAAAGGCCCAAGTTCATTTGAGATTCTGTTACTAGCCTGGTAGTCCTGGGTTAACTTATTTGGCTTACACCTACATTCCTTATTTGTAAAACAGAGGCCATAAAGATAGTAGCTAATGCGGGGGAGTGGTGGCACACGCCTTTAATCCCAGTACTCTGAAGGCAGAGGCAGGCGGATCTCTGTGAGTTCGAGGCCAGCCTGGTCTACAGAGTGAGTTTCAGGACAGCCAGGTCTACACAGAGAAACCTTGTCTCGGAGAAACCAGACAATAGCAACAACCACAAAAATGGTAACTACCAACAGGCTTCTTAGGGTGGGGGAGGGAAAACTCATACCTCAGGGTAAGTCAAATAAGTAGATGGCATAAGCTGTCAACTGTTGTTTATAGACTCTATCCAGGGTGTGCCATTCCGTTTCTGCCCAGAAAGCTACCCAGAGCACAAACCTAGTGTCAACAGAATGAAGAAACATTCAAAGTCTTTCTAGGAAGTGCAACCCAGTGTCTTAGGCAGTTTAAAAATACTCTGAGAACAATCTGCTGCCCGCAAGAGTGTGCCCACAGGAAGGCAGGACAGGTTGGGCCAGACCCATGAATCAAAGAACTTAACAATAACCTGGTTTTGTGTAAACTGAAGGAAATGGAAACAGAATGAGTAATTGTCAACTGAAAAAAAAATAACAGTGACCTCGAATATGCCCCCATTTCCTCAAGTTACAGTGAACTCACAGGTTTTTACACACTCCATCCTCATCCCTATGTCTCTTCTTACCAGTCTCCCTTCTAATCTGGCATGCTTGGGACAAAACACAGCCGGCTTCACCTCCCTTTCAGTGGTCTTCCCTAATCCTAGTCAGCATGGAGGGGATTGGGGATGTAACTCGATTGGTGAAATAGTTGCCCAACAGGTAGGAAGTCCTGGGTTTCGGTATCAATGCATAGAAACTTGCCCGGAAGCCCAAGTCTATGATCACAGCCCTCTGGAGTTGTAGGCAGCAGTACCAAGGCCACCTTTAGCTACATAGCAAGTGTGAGCTCCATAGGTAGCCCGAGCTGCATGAGACTGTATCAAAGCCAAGCGGGGGCTGGGGTGATGGTTCTGCTGCTGTGGTCTGGCAGCTCTTGCAGGGGACTTGGGCTTGTTACAGAAGACCTAATGACTTCTTCTGGCTTCCATGGGCCTTGCACAGGCAAAAACGTCCATACAGATAGAATTAAAACGACAAGGCAAAACCCTGTCCACTCACCCAGTCCTTCAGCCCACCCCTTTTCTTTGTTCTCTTTTTTTCCCAGGGCCAACACCTTCTAATGCACCAAATGCTTCATTTACATGGTTTTCTACAGGTAAGAGGATTAACTGTTTTCCTTGCTACTGTGTCCCAGGTGCTTAGGGCCACGCCCGGTTTCTGGCCCTGCTCGATGTTTAGGGAATGGCTGTCAGTGAATGCAGACTCGAGTCCACAGGCTGGGCTCCAGAGGAGGTCCCTCCGGCCCAGCCCTTGCTGGGCGTTTCAATGTGAGGAGGAATTTCACACAATTCTTCCAGTGAGTGTGTCACCGGCTTTGTTCGCTAAGCCGGCATCATCAGATTACCTGCAGAGTAGAAAGTCAGAAGGGAGTGTAACGGAGCTCCTGGCATTGCCGTAAACTGAAGACTGTTGGTTTTATACATGTCAAAATGAAAGCACTAGGTTACTTAAGACTTTTACTTCCTTTTTGTCCCCCCAGGAAGTTTGCATCACTAACTTACATTTTACAATTGAAAATATTTTGATAAAAGCTTTGCTTGCCCCCCAAAAAATGTTTTATTAATGGTTCTGTGGGTTACCGTTTCTTTCCACTTTTCTACAATTTCTTCAACAATCTGATATTGCTTTTTAAAAAAAACCTTTCTGTAGGGGATGAGATAGGGGGCCTGTGGGGGGAGGGGAGGAGGGGAGGGAGAGGGAACTGGGATTGATATGTAAAACAAGATTGTTTCTAATTTGAATATATATATATATATATCCCTTCTACTAATCTATGAAATCTGCACAGCTCCTCCTCAAAAGGCAGAGGAGCCATTTATCTCTTGTTGGGGGGGAGGGACTCAATTGCTTGGGTGATGCATCACCCCAGGGAAACGTGAGAAGGACCTGGGATTAAGCAAGGCTATCAGCAAGGCGATTTTCTTGAGTAAGGATCCGATGCTATTCTGAAAACCCTCAGAGGATTTGAGTTGGCAATCCAGGCTGACAATGGACAACGGGCCCGCGGGCTTCTGCAAAGCCTCTGCGGTACATACACTGCTCTCTTTGACATCCAAGAAGGTGATGTGGGGGTCACTTTAGCTGAAAAAGAAATAGCACAGCCACGGCCACTTACGAGGTGTTCAGGACCAGAAGCTCCAGTGAGATTATGGAAAGTCACACGCGGTACAAAACCGTTTCAGACACGCTACAACACACCGGGCAGACATTTGGGGTTGGCGTCTCAGGTTAGCTGGGCTGGAAGTTTTCTGAAGGGAAAATACTTGAACATTACAATGAATTGTGTGGCCCGGAAAAAAATCACCACCTTCCTCCCACCCTCTAGAGCAGGGGTTCTCAACCTGTGGGTCAAGATCTCCTTGGGGTCAAACGACCCTTTTATATGGGTCACCTAAGAACTTGGAAAACACAGGTTTTCACATTACGATTCATAGTGGTAGCAAAGTTATAGTTGTAATGGAAGTAGCAATGGAAAATAACTTTATGGTTGGGGATCGCCACAGCATGAGGAATTATATCAAAGAGTCCCGGCATTAAGAAGGCTGAGAACCCCTGCTCTATAGCAATGGAAACCCTTTGTCCTTACTTGCCTTGTAGTTACTCAGAAGCTCAAACGGATATGGAGGGGAAAGCCTGGTTTGTGTTAAAACCTGACTGGGTCAGGTCTCCTGGAGTCTAAGGTACCATGAACACATCTTCCTATGAGACTCATGATATAATAATAATAGTAATAATAGTAAAAACCTTACCTTAGGTAAGCTAGCAAGATTATTCTATTTTTTTAAAGTTACCAAATCAGAGACACATACTCTAGTGGAAAACCCACATCTCCTTCTGCAAAGGGTCATGCATGCATTATGTTCCTGGAAATTCTACACTGCTTTGTGTAGTTCATATTTTTTTATTTCAAAAAATGTAGGCCACAAATTCAGAATGTCAAAAATCTTTAATGTAATTTCGAATGCAGCTAGGAATGTTTATGTAAATTATATTGAAATCCTCATAGAAACCAACTCCGTGGCTCTTCAAAGAGTAGTTTGTTCAACGCACAAGTAGAGAAGTTAGCAGTAGACTTATTTGTAATTTTTTAAAATCTTCCTTCTTTTAGATGGATGGAGCGCCTCAGTGAACTACATACAACCCAACTTTAGAATAAGTTTTATCCAGGCAACTCTTGTCAAAAGGTCAAGGAAGGTAGCTTTTTTTAATATTATCAACATGACAAAGAACCATGTACAAAAACTTTTTAATGATTATTCATGTAAGTAGATTTATAGAGACAGAAAAAAAACCCCACGTTTTCTTTACCAAGCAATCAAGCAAAACACTAGTTCAACTAGTGGTAAAACCTTGGTAACAAGAGCTGAGCGAGCATTAAATAAGACAGCATCGCCATCTGGAGGATCCATATGGAACTGCAGAGCAATAACCAAGGAAACAAGAGAGGGCAACAGAAACAAGAATTATCGGCCCTGGTGTCATGGCTCTGAACTCTATTTCAGGCTCCCAGTCGGTGCCTTGCACATGGTTATCGAGAGACTTAAAAACTGAAACTGCAACCCTGACTTCTTTAAGAAGTCTAGTTCACTAGAATTGGGTGTGGTGTGGGCACAGCCTGTATTCGCAGCTCCTTGGCTGACTGGGATGGGAGAATCAGGGAGTTCCGGGCCAGCCTGGGAAACACAGTGAGACCTATCTCAAACACAAAACAAAACGAAACACCCCAAGCCAGAAACGACAAAAGCAACCTTCACCAGCAAAGAAAAGCCAAGATTCTGAAATGAGAGACAGGCATCCCCCAAATGCATCTGTTGGCCCCTCTTCTTGAACTAAGTAGGGTCTTATATATATCTACAGGAATTTTGCTCATGAGAAAAATCTAAGTTACTGGCAGTTTAATTGATCAGAGGCATTTACATGTTAATGGGTTGAAAGTTTTAATTAAAAGAGAAGTGGCGACAACCAGAATTCCTAGTGTTGGAGAACAAGATAACCATCTCGTACTATCTTTCTTTCACATTACGCTGATGGGGGGGGGGTGGCAACCTCACTCTAAACCAATAGGCATCCATACTCCTGTCTACAATTCCTAGTTGTTATTTTTAAACTAACCAGGTCTTTTCCATACTGAAAGAGTCATTTTAATGACTGTTCACAAGGAAGAGTTAAAGACCACCCATATTTACATTATTCTAACTAGATACAGATAATTTCAGGGAAGATCACAGTCCTCCCACATGTTGGAAGTCTTGGGTTCAAGTCCCAACTCCACAGAAATCGCTTTCTTCTTATCAATTTCCAAGTCATGTTAGCAATATTTGTACAATTAAACCAAAACTTGAATGCCACTCTCTCACTTTTTACATATATGGTGTCATGGACCCACCGGTGGCAGAGTTCAGCTCGGCACTGGCCGGAAGAGCACTGGATCTCCGTTCACGAGGTTTAGAGTGGTGGCTCACACCTTTAATCCTGTCACTTAGGCAGAGAGAGGCAGGTTCATCTCTAGAGTTCAAGGCTATTCTGGCCTGCATAATGAGTTCTTGGTCAGCCAGAGCTACAGAGTGAGATCTTATCTCAAAAAAAGAGAGAAGTACTGGGCGGTGGAGGTGCATGCCTTTAATCCCAGCACTAGGGAGTTAGAGACGGGTGAATCTCCGTGAGTTCGAGGCCAACCTGGTCTACTGAGTGAGTTCCGGGACAGCCTCCAAAGCAACAGAGAAAGTCTGTCTCAAAAAGAATAAGAAGAAGGAAGAGGAGGAGGAGGAGGGAATGAAGGAAAGACAAAACCCCTGTTCACAAACAACCACCATAGTTACAGTCAAGAACACCCCTCCCTCTCTCACTTTTCACACCAACTTTTAAAAGAATACCATCTGTGACTCCATGACAGCAAGAAGTTCTAACACTTTCCAGTTCCCATTTTAAACAGACTCTTTTCTTGTATCATTTACACGGCCTCCCCGCCCTGACCCTTGGCCATCATCTTTTGTTCAGTTCAAACCAACTCAGTTTTGCTAACATCTCTTGCCATGAACTTGGCCTAGACAACCGGAAGCTTGTGTAGACACTTTCGGCTAGCATAGAAGTTCAGATTCTTGACCATGAAGGAACCCATCTAGCAAAACAATGCAGCAGACACATCCTTTCTTTCTTTAAAGGTGGTAGTAAGGTTTCACTTGACCCTGCCCCCCAAGTATAGATTAATATTTATTTGACAAGTCACTCTAGTTTTCTGTGGTTCTCCTTCTTCTCATCCTTCTCCTTCTTCTCCTTCTTCTTTTTGTCTCGATAACCCAAAACATGAAATTCCACTGAGACATATATTAAATAAAATGTTTAGACATTCCCGTGTATAGGGCACAAAACTCACAACTCAAAACAACAACAACAAAAAACCAAAAGTTTAAAGGCTAGCAAGTAACCTAATGATGGAGGAGGTTCATCTGAAACAGATCACGTTCCTTGTTTAGTGCGGAGGGACCTTATACTGAGAGGAAACACAGTCTGTGAGAAGAGAGCATCTCAGCTCTTCCTGGACCACAGCCTCCTTCACTGGATTAACACAGAAATCAGTCCTCAGAGAGAGCTGTGTGGCCAGAACCTATCAGCCGCAAGCACCGCCAATCTCACAGCGGCTGCCCGCAGCCATATTACAAAACAGTGTTTGGCCATCAGGTGCCTCATTCTTACTCAAAGAACCTTCAGGGGCCAACCACAGTGAGCTCACATTTACCTGTCCTAGGACCTGTTTATGTTTCTTCTCCAACCTAAGCCAGAGCTGCCTGTTTGTGGACTCCGGATTGGAGTAGCTGTGTTGGTCCTTCATGGGACAGCATCTAACAGAAATTTGAACCTTGGGTTTTAGGTTCCTCTTGAAATAATCAGATCCCAGGTTTAGAGTCTGTTCAAACCTTTAGATAATCTGGACTGCAAGACAACGCTTAAACAGCTCGCAGCTAATACTGCACTGTACACATACAAACTAAAAGGTCCCTATGGGCAACAGACAAACAGTGTACCCACATTTGCTGGCTGGGTCTCCTGGTAGCTCTTGGCACTGTTGCATTTTCTGACATTTCTGTATGACATGAGAATCAGCATCCCGAATGTTCATATGGCTCCAAGCATTTCCTGGAAGTGTAATAGCTTTGGAATTCTTCATATTACCATGCAGACTAGATATGGGATAGTACTTCAGGCAAATCAGCCAGCTAGTTGGTTATCCTGAGGGACTACTGTCTCTGTGGATGAGACCAGATATCAGATAAATTGAATAGTCCATTCTGTCTAAGGATTTCAATGGATCTTCTTGAGAATTCCAACTTTTTCACCCTAGACGCTCTGAAATCCTATTAGGACTGGAGTCCATGGGCCAATTTCCTCAGTTACCAGGACCAGCAGCATAGGGCGGCTGTTCTATTAGGATGCAGAACATTCACGTTCACTTGGCAGTCCAATTTGATTATCCAGTTCAGGACTCAGCTTTGGAAGCCACACCCACTTCTTCTAAGTGTTCATGGGTGAGGATGGTTTTCTTTAATTTGGGATCTCATGAATCTTAGCCGGTATCCTTTCCCATGCAAGGCTACAACCCAGACAGAAAATGAATATTCCTTTTTAAACTCTCAAGTGCCTTGTATATGAAATTTTATAGACATACCATGCCCTTAAAAATATGTAATAGCTTTTTTTAAAATAAGGTATCTTGTATCAAAGGTTAGCCTTGGACTTACTATGTGTCCTAGGATGACCTAGAATTTCTGATCCTCCTGCCTCTGCCTCCTTGAGTGCTGCTACTGTTTTGTGTGGTTCTGGGGATCAAACCCTGGGCTTCCTGCATGCTATATAAGCACTCTCTACCAATCAAGTTTCATCCCCAGCCTGTAATACATATTAAATTTAAAAATCAAGCCTTAAAAAAGCAATTTCTATTATTGTGTCAAGTTTTCTCCAAATCACAGTAGCGTTTCTCTACACCTCTCCTCATTTGCAGACCTCAGGAATCTTTCTTAATCAGTCTGGCCTTGACTTTGTGTCTCAGGAGGGAGGCGGTGGCCGCACTGCAGGCAGCTAAAAAGAAAAAGGAGAGGCAGGCGGTATAGACGGACAGGGGACCATGGCGCTGCAGGAATATCTCGTGCCGTCCCTGGTAGTCTAGAAGAATGGCCTCCAGCTGGGAGAGCGTGCAGATGGAAAGGAAAGCATGGAAGATTTGATGTCCGTGACCCACAATGTCACAGGAACCGGGGAAGTACTTCTCGGGTACCGGGCAGGAGAAGAAGTAGGCGCTAACGAGGAAGAAGAGGATCTGGAGGGTGTGGTACCAGGCCGCCTGCTCTTGGCAACCAGCCAGATGGCAGAGAGCCACCCGGTGGGCCACAGGGCTGATGTCTAGGATGAAGGCCAGCCCTGCCGGTACCACTTGACAGATCTTCCGCATAACTGGATAAGGCCTCCGGTAGCGATACTTGGCGTAGCAACAGCCAGCACAGGATAGCCAACCACAGAAAGCAGCTGCTGGCAGGAAGAAAAGCCAGAACCGCTCGTACCAGGCCTGGTCTGAGCTATAGAAAAAGTGAGCCAACGCGCTGCCATACTGGTAGACGCTGACCCCGACGTAGTCCACAAAGTAAAAGGTGTAGTGGGACAGCTCTGACTTGGATTGCAGAAGGTGGGCCAAGAGGCTGCAGGTGAGGTAAGTGATCGAGGACAGGATGAAGAGGAGCAGGGGGAGGGTGTGGGGAGAGGCCCACTGCAATGCCCCAGCCTCCGCAAAGGCCCAGAATCGCAACAGGACCGCTAGGGCCGCCAGCAAGTGGGTCCAGACGTTGACCACCTCGTTGTGCTTCTGGAAGAGGCTGAAGAAGTAGTAGCGCCACTCGTGCCCCGTGGGGCGGTAGCCTGCGTGGATGTAAGGCTCCCTGAAGAGCTGGGGCACGTCGCTTTCTGGGACAGTGCACGGCATCTTGGGAAGCCCTTCTTCCAGAATCTTGGGCAGACGGCGCAGCTGCTGTCCGCTCACAGACAAGGTGCTCAGGCGTTCCAGGATGGCGGTCGTCATGGCAGCGGTGGGCTGGGCTCCACGGGACTCAGTGGACCAGAAAACCTGCAGGGAAAGAGAGGAAAACTGAAGCAAACACAAGGGAGCCATTCATAAGGGAGCATGACTTGCTCAGACAGTGTGGGAAGCTAGGATGTCCAGATGAATCCTCCGCGCCTCTCTCTCTGTATCTGTACTGTAGAGTAGCAGCAACCTCCCTTAAGGTGACATTCTGAGGTATCTCTTGTATAATGGCCACGTTAGCCTAGCACGACTTAGTGGTAAGATTTAATGATACCTAGGAGGTAAAAGTACTCTTAAAGATCACTATATTTCCTAGATGTTACTAAAATGTAATCATCAGATGTCCTTAAATTATTAAATAGGTTGAGATAAAAGAATACACTTTGCTGGGCATGGCAGCACAGAGTACCATGTAATCCCAGGACTCTGAAGGCTAAGGCACAAGGCTGTCAGCTGGAGGCCAGTCTGTGCTGTATAACTATGCTTATTGATAAATAGATAGGTAGATAAATAAGTAAGCAAATACACAAGGTGTCATTTCTTTATCACCCAGCTAATCTTGAACTGGCCACTAATCTTACTGGAAACTTTAAAATCCAAGGTAAGCAATTAGCTGAAACTCAAATTAAAGGCAGATTACTTGTAAATGAGATTTGGAAAGAGCAGTGCACACCGCGGGATATCTTAGCAGTGCGAAGCCACCATCGCTTGAAAACAGGCATTTTGGGTATGTTGGGAAACCCATTAGCCAAAGTCCTGGTCTAGGCTCATGACTGTAGAGCTGCCTCAAAGTGGGTCAGTCTCGGAAGCGCAGGCACACGGCACCCTCTGCTGGCTGATGGTGGAAACACAGCTTAGCTTTTTCTTGTTTTTAGATGAATGTATTCTGCTGATCATTTTCTTTCTTTGTTTACAAACAAAATAAAACAAAACCACTTTATTTGGTTTTTCATCTGCATGCACGTGTGTGTGTGTGTGTGTGTGTGTGTGTGTGTGTGTGTGTGTGTGTGTGTGTGTGTGTGTGTGCGCGCGCACTTCGGTGCCATGGCAGAGGATTAGCTTTTGGAGTTTCTTCTTCCATCACGTGGGGCCCCGGGATCAAGTCCATGTTGTCAGGTTTGTAATGAGGTGCCTTTACCGGCTAAACCACCTCAACAGACCCTCTAATGACCATTTCCCAGTCCTACAGTCTCTCTTGCTGATCAACGCGGTGATGCTTCTTTTTTTTTTTCTTTAATGCCTATGTCAAGCCTTCATTCAATAGAGGAATTAAAAACATGGCATAACTATAACTAAAGTCTAATGGCAAAGATGGCTCTATTTTTTCTTCAAATGGCGCTCCAGGAAGCTAGAGGCTTGGGATTGGCCTCTCCCGGGCAACTACATCTGTGTGTGATGAATTTCAGGCCTCTGAAATGCTCGCTTTACACTTAGGATTTCTAGGTGGCGATAAGACAGATGCCCACAAGAGTTACTTTATACAGTCAATGAATTTTCATGAGCACTCACTGAGCAAATTATGTTTTAATTACACAGATGCTTTCTGTGTCTTTTATTTTCTAAGCTTTTTTTTTTTTGAAGAAAGTTAAATTCTTGTTTTATCTAAAGGTCTTCAACCAAAGGGGATACAACAATGTGCTGCTCAGGAAATAAAGTCTTTGAACTGCATTAAAAAAATTTTTCCCTTTGGCGTTTTTTGAGACAGGGTTTCTCTGTGTGGCCCTACCTGTCCTGGAACTCACTCTGCAGATCAGGCTGGCCTCGAACTCACAGAGATTTGCCTACCTCTGCTTCCCAAGTGCTGGGATTAAAGGCGTGCGCCACCACTGCCAGGCTGACACCACTACTGCCCAGCTAATGTCATATGTCTTTTTTCTTTTTCTTTCTTTTTTTATAATTCCTTTTTAGTTTTATGTGCATTGGTGTTTTGTCTGTATGTGTGTCTATATAAGGAACTGGAGTTCCAGACAGTTGTGAGCTGCCATGTGGGTGCTGAGAATTGAACTCATGACCTCAGGAAGAGCAGCCAGTGCTCTTAACCATCTCTCCAGCCTAACCTCACATTTCTTAATGCTGAAAAAAAGTATTTAATCAGGGTAAAAATGTCAGGAATGAAAAGAACAAAAGTGTAAAAGAACCCTGGCGGTGGTGGCGCACACCTTTAATCCCAGCCCTCAGGAGGCAGAAGCAGGCGGATCTCTGTGAGTTCGAGGCCAGCCTGGTCTACAGAGCAAGTACCAGGATAGTCAGGGCTACATAAAGAAACCCTGTATTGAAAAACCAAACCAAACCTAACAAACAAACAAATAAATAAAGGGAAAGGAAAACAGTGAAGGAAGTTTGGGAAAACCTAGAGCCAAGGCCTGGTTTTGCTGTTTCCCGAATGGTCAGCTAGAAGTCTACAGGTCTCAGTCTCAGGCTCTTCACATATAAAACAGGTATCTGGTTTGAGATAATGATCAGAAAACTGCTGGGTGGTTCTGGGCTAGACTCTATGCCAGGTACTAAGTACTGGGCAGTAGAGATGCAGTGACCAAAAAGGGAGTCTACTTGCCTTTGTAGAGGTTAACGTCTGCAGTGTTCCTGGGGAGAAGGATACACTTATGACAGAAAAGTGCAGTCCATGTCTCAGCTAAGGCATGCGGTGACGCACAGGGTCACTGCCAGCAAGAGGGGCACATTAGGGGATGGGCCACTTCAAGTGCTTCAGGAGGGACTTGAGGAATCCCTGAAAAACAAACCCATGAAACAACATGTAAGACTTCAGACGGAGAACGAAGTATTTACTTTGAAATTTTATGATATTTTATATGTGTGTATCCTTTCTGTGGATTTTATTTAATGTGTTGCCCGCACGTGTGGATGCATACCTACCACACATGTGCCTGGTGCCAGTGGGGTTCAGACAAGCATGTGACTCCCCTCGAACTGGAGTTGCAGACGGGTGCGAACCACCCTGTGGGAACCAGAAACTGAACCTGAGTCTTCTACAAAGAGCATCAAGTGCTCTAGCCAACAAGCTATCTCTTCAGCCTCTACTTTTATTTTTGAGATGGGTCGTGTTCTGAAACCCAGGCTAGCCTTTGAACACATGAAACTCTTAATTTAGCCTTCCAAGCATGGGATCCCACATGAAACTCTTCCAAGCATGGGATCCCACCGTGGCCTGCAAAGAACTTTTGTTTAGTCGCAAACTTAGAAGGCCCAGTCTCCAAGTGAAGACCATGTATGACAGTGGCACCAGAGAGACCTGGAACTCCAGGCTTGAGCACTGCTCTCCTCCAGTCATGGACCTCTAGCCTGCGTTCTGTCTGTGAAATAGTTAATGAGAAGCTGTCTCACATGCTGATGTAGGATCTCCAAGACACAGAGCCTGTGAGGTAATTTAACAAAATGTATGGTCTAAATCCAAAAAGCTCATTTGCCATAACTATTGTCACACCTTACTTGAGACACAAGGATAGTTTGTGAGTATCTTGGTCCGCTCTCATAGCACCCATCACCTGTACTGACACACTCACTCAGCCAGTGCCCAAACAGAAGCATCTCACCAGGAATGGGCTCGGAACTAAGACTCAACATTGGACTTGAAGGTACCAAGAAAGGAACAATAAGGATTACAGAATCAACCAGAAAAAGCAACAGAAAAGGACGGGGCTAGTTGGTGTCTCCACTGCTGGGCCGGCGGAGATTGGTGCCTGGGCTTCTGCACTGGGCTTAAAGGGCATCTACAGGAACGAGCCTGGGAGATGGGATGACTTTTTAATGTGCCCCGTTGCTGTCAGCAACATCTCTTCTGGAGATGCTTGGCTTTGTGGAACTCTGCTGTGCATTCGCAAGCTCCCGTTGGAAGGCAGGTAAGAAAAAGAAGACGAGGGGGCTGGAGAGATAGCTCTCTCAAGAGCTTGCTGCTCTTAGTTGGCTCCCAGTGACCTCCTCAAGCGACTCATAACTTCCTACAACACCAGTTCTAGGGGATCTGGTACACTCTTCTGGCCTCTGTGGCCCGCTGCACACACACCACGGCACACAGACATGCACATATATGCATACATTAAACTAAATCTTTAAAAAAGAAATGAAATGACTCCCATTCCAGTTTATGATTGGGAGAAGCTGAAGGTGTGAAACTGTGCAAAAAGACACTTCCCAATAGGCTGCATCTGGATATCTTCAGTATAAGGATGTCTCCATCGTGTTGCGATACCCATATCAATCACACACAGTTCTTTACCCAGAATTAAATGATGCACTACTGCACAAATCCATCCTTATCTTCCTTTCCTTTGGGATAGGATGTCCATTTAGTGGGTTTCCATGACCCAGTGACAAGAGAATTTCTAAAGACTAAAACTCTATCTAAGGTCTGGTTAATGGATGGAGTGAAATATAATTCAGTTCTGGGAACTAATAGTTGTCTTTCTGCTCTGAGAGAGAAGATGGAGTGTGATGCTGTCCTCCCTCCCTCCCTCCCTCCCGCCTTCCCTCCCTCCCGCCTTCCCTCCCTCCCTCCCTCCTTCTCTCTCTCTCTCTCTCTCTCTCTCTCTCTCTCTCTCTCTCTCTCTCTCTCTCTCTCTTTTAGACAGGATTTCTCTGTGTAGCTTTGGAGCCTTTTCTGGAACTAGCTCTTGTACACCAGGCTGGTCTTGAACTCAGAGATCTGCCTGCCTCTCCCTCCCGAGTGCTGGGATTAAAGGCGTGCGCCACCACCTCCCTGCTGATGCTGTCCTCTTGCTGGTCTCTAAACAGCTGTTGCTGCTGCACCATTGCAGTTCCTCCAGTCTTCCTACTTCTCATGTCCTTCTTGACTGAGTATTTCTGTTTTGCTCTCACAGGAAACAAACTGGGAAGAGGTTTATAGCACTAAGAAGCAGAAAGGAGTATGCTGCAAGGGATACTAACTTTAACTTCAAAGGAAATCACATGCACACATACATACACATGTGGATACACACGCACAAGTAGACCCACCATTCTCGTTGCAAACTAGATGTTTAAAATGCAGCCATGCCATTTAAATCTCCTTCATAACCCCCGAGTGTTGTATAACCTGACACTAGGTCCTGGTAATCCAGGAATGCAACCATCACTACCTCCAAACAATGATTCCTTATCTGGCTCATCAATTCGGGATCCCAGGGATTGCATCCTGTTTCTTAGGATGAGAAAGGCTTACATTTCCTTTAGAAGTTCAGGGGTATCAAATTTCAAACCTGCTAGAAAGACAGGGTGCTATTTCTCTGTTCTTTCCTTAGTAACTACCTCTTTACCTGATATAAAATTCTCCCTTCGAGAACAACAATCATATTGGGCACTTAATGCTGTTTTGCTAAAAAACCATTGACCCCTCATTTGGGCCTATCAAGAAACGAATTACAAGATGAAAGCCTTCTGCTGCTTTCATGTTAGAACTGTCATCTTTCCTTTGGGATAGTCTCCAGCCTGAGTCTCTATGAGCACATTAATCACTCAGGTGGCCGGGCAGTGGTGGCGCACGCCTTTAATCCCAGCACTCAGGAGGCAGAGGCGGGCGGATCTCTGTGAGTTTGAGGCCAGGCTGGACCGACAGCCTCAAAAACAATACAGAGAAACCCTGTCTCGTAAAACCAAAAAAAAAAAAAAAAATCACTCAGGTGTCTGAGTTAGCTCAAAGCAGGGATTGTTTGTCACAGAAGTTTCCATATATAAACTCGTATATGGAAGACACTTGTTATTTACTGAATAGATTGCAAAGATGGGAAAAGAACTACTGGGTTGGTAGTTAGGAGGTCTGGCTGCCAGTGTTTGTTGTACCCAGTTAACTGCGTGCCCCTGCCCAAGACACTGAACTATTCAATGGGACTGTCTACTAACAGAGTAGATAAGAGGAGGTGACTCCCTCTTTGGGCACATCTCAGGAAAACAATACATAACAGTAAAGTGGGCAGAAGTGGATACTCCACTTTGAAAAGATAAAATATGCATATTACGGTACTGGCAGTATCTGGAATAAAGAACCACCACAGGCACTTAGGAACTCCTTTTGCTGAAAAAACCTTGGTGATTATCTCTTCTCGTGGCCCACAAGGTAACTACTGGCTGGTTTTATGTCAACTTGACACAAGCTGGAGTCATCAGAGAGGAAGGAGCCCCAGCTGAGGAAATGCCTCCATAAAACCCAGCTGTAAGGCATTTTCTCTATTAGTGATCAGTGTGGGGAGGGCCCAGCCCATTGTGGGTGGTGTCATCACTGGACAGGTGGTCCTGGATTCTATAAGAAAGCAGTTAAAATACGGGTCCCTGAGGAAAATCCAACCCACTGTAACTCAGTTCTCCTACTGTATGCCACCCCTCACTCAAGTGATCCTAGAGATGTAAATGATTTCTCCCAACCTGCAAGCATCAGCTCTCGCATACTGAGTGAGGTCATCATGGTCCCCAGAGATTTCTCAGAAGTGATTGTAGTGCCTGAGGAGCCAGAAGAGGGCGTCAGATTTTCCTGAAACAGGAGTTTACAGGGAATTGCGAGCTAACATGTGAATACAGGAAACCGAACCCCAGGTCCTCTGCAAAAGCAGAAAGGTACTCTTAAGAACCGAGCAATCCTCTCCAGACCCATTGCGGCTAGATTTACAAAACTCATACACTGAGACATTCCAACCTAAAGACCCTGGTAGAAAATACACCAACACAAAAATACATGTATGAGAATGCCATACTGAAACATATTATTATGTATAATTAACACATGTTAATAAAAGCTGAAGCAAAGAACAGCCACTGAAATCTGCTACTCATATTCCATGCATTCCAAGAAGCCTCTCCCAAATCAACACAGAAGCAAATTAAATAGATGCTCCATATTTGGGAAGCTGACATAGCTTGGTATGAAAGACATTTTAACTGGTAACCATCAAGACGCCCTCCAAAGCAGTGGTGTTCCCTGACGCATTCCAAAGGATCCCACAAAATTCTACCGCAAACTTGGACTTGCCAGTTCCATGGGATGAACCTGGAGGAGAAATGAGACGTTCCAGCTGCTAGTTTGGCTCTCCTACTAACATGAAACTTGGAGAAAGTCATTTATCCTCACCATGTCTCGGCATCCCTGTCCACAAAACAAGGGTATAGTCTGTACAAGCTCAGCTGTCCTGTGATTTTAGAATTCACCTGGGCTACGTTTTGCTCATACTGAAATCACCAAGAGACAGATTCTGTGACATCACCCCATGCCATTATGTGCAGGAAACACAGATGGAATGCAGGTGGCCCTGCTGGTTGTTGGGCAAAGAGCCAAAGAGCAAACAGTCTCAATAGAAGTCAAAAGAAACTCTTCCAGAATCCCCGGGTCACCCTTACACATCACTGCATAACCATAGGGGCGGGGAAGAAACGGAAGCTAAAGGAACAGTATGGGCTCAATTAGGACCAGAGCCTTGCCCCAGAAGCCTTGGAAACTGAGAGAGAGCAGGGTACATAGGCAGATGCTTCTAGAACCTCCAGTCACCCATCAAGCAAGAGACTGCTGGGCCCTCCCAGATCTTTATAACTTCTGCCAAGAATCATATCGTTGTTTATAATGTCATATTTTAAGGCTTAGCGTTGCCAACCAAATACTATTATTAGCAGAGGTAATTTTAACTTGGATTCACCAACAGTCAGTGCATGTTTCCCTTATGTGTGAGTAAACCCAACGGATAGTACCTTGACATCCCCAAATGGGAGGCTAGACTGAATGAATCATAAATC